ACAATTCATTGTAGTTTTTAGTTTTAACATAAAGATATTTACACTTAGGATACATATTTTTTTTTTCAAATAAAATAAGGGATAAGGCCAGAGCCCCAAGTATACAGGAGGACAGTGAGCTCCACAGCCATTGCAAATTCGTGTTGCGTTCATACTTGTTGTTCTCGATATGTGCTTGGATCATCGTGTCAGTGCAATAAAAATAATCCTGAAGAAATAACAGTTCATTTTAAATAGGTGCTGAGATGGTTAGATTAATTACACTTTTTAGTTTTTACTATTTACCGTCAAGTAGTTTTGTATGTAACAAAGGATCCGTTTTTAGACTGCCGAATATTTAGATTATTTTGTATACAAATTTTTGTAGTTGTTTATTAATCTTCGTATGATACCAGTCGTTAATGGTTGGTTTAAATATATGTTGTAATTTTCATTTGTACGAAAACTTTTGCTTTTTGTATAAATTGCGTAAATTAAGAACATCCTCTTATCAATGAGGTTTGTAATCAGCAGTTAAATGGGAAAAATCCTCAAAAGTAAACTGCAGGATTTTACTGTGGTTGTAAGACCTGAGGTGGAATTAAGGAGCGATTTTTTACGGTTCTGCGCTCAATTAGAGCAAATTATTTTAATCACCTGGCAAAGAATCTGCTTTGCTGAAATATTCTGCTAATGTTATCTCTGCTTTTGTTTGCTGTTTCTTTTGAGATAATTAGTAATACACTGCAATTTTTGTTTTAACTGGTGCACCTGTTGCTCGAAATCGAGCAATTGCTAAGTATTACAGGCGTTATTTTAAAACGAATAAAAGTCATAATACTGATGACTTTAAAAGATTCGACTCAAAGATAATGGAAATTCTCGAGTTGTATATATAACATATCGATGTAATCAAAATTTCTTGTCAATATCTTATTATTTTTCAAAAGGTGGTCTTGTTTTTTAGTGTTTTCTACAAATAGCCTTACCCATAGCCGCATTAGGTTGTCCATAATAACGATAAAAAAAAAAACATTCCTATTTCTTCTCCTTGGTGATATTCTATGACTTTCCTATGTTTCTATAGTTTGCAGATCGGCTCTTTCAATCATTATTAAGAAATGCAGCACAGTGTTAGTTCAGTTTTCTTTTAGTATATCAAGTTATCCAGGCTCTCTTGCTTTTTTCCATTGTAATATGAAACCCAAATTCAAATAGTAAATTTTTAATTTCAACCAAGTCAATACATTTTTAAAGCAAACTGTTAAAGCAGCAAATTTATTGACTATTTACAATTAACATATGTTCTTCTCCTCACTTTTAATTTCTGACAACAGCTGGAGTTTCATAACAATGTTTATTTACCGTGTTCTTATGAAGAAATACGAAACTTTAAATGGCTCCAGGGCTTCACTCTCTAATCATTTCTCTAAAAAGAAAGTTTTCTTGTAAAATTTCACGTTACGCTCTTTCTAGTGACACCAAAAACTCGTCAATCGGCTCAGTAGTTTCGGAGGAGTAATTGTCACAAAAAAACATGCTTGCGTATTAAATAAGTATAGATATATATAGTTTGAACGAATAATAAGTCATTCTCCTAAGATTCATACGAAAATAAAAGTACTGTAGACAGTTACGTCAAAACCAAAATATTTAATACATTCACAGTGTTTATGTAACTACATGCTTAAAACAGTCAAACGAAAACAAATTAGCGAAATGTCGTTTGCCAGACTTGTAAACAGCCGCCCCTATTCAGCCGAGTAGACGCGGTGGTGACAGCCCACTGAAATCTTTTATTGAAGGGAACTTAGAGTTGCTTCCTCTTCATTCAATCTCTAAGATAAGATGATATTTTTGTATTGCAATGTGAATATCCAAACAGTCAAAGTTTTATACTGGTTAGTATAAGTATAATAGGTCGTGTAAGTTTATAGATCATACTATATAGTTGACCTCTCTAATCCAATGTATAGTTGTAATTTGATTAGTCTGAATGGGATCGTAATAGTATATTACGTTACTAGTCCTGAAAATAAGTGTTTACAGGACGAGTGTGGTTGTTAAGTCTCGCACGGGATTACCATACGAGTCCGGTACACATATTTTGGACGAGTTACGTACGATAGTTTACGCCATACTACTATATCTGTACAAATCCTTATATATTTCCACCAACTAATGGACTAAAAATCACTAGTCATAACCTCTAAGAGAGGTTATGTTTTGGTTTATAACCATTCATTGCCACCTAAATACAGTATAATCAGCTGATTGGTGTCCGGTAAAACTCATTACAGTACCGTACGCAATGAAACCCCATTTAAATAAGCTGGCGGCAAACAGCTGTTTTCTGGACTAAATCCTTGCGTGGGAAGTTCGTCAAAATAATGTAGTGTGGCGTAAATATTTATTACTACAATGTTCCACACACTACATTTTAGGATGTAGAGTACGTATAGTATCGTTTGTAATCACTGGTCATAGCAACTTTTTGCTCTAGATTTCTACTGAGATTCTATGTTATAAGAGTTTCCCCCATTCCCATTTTATTGTTCTTAATAAAGGTACTAAGTCGTGAGATTGGACTCGCATTGCAACGTAAACATTTTGAATAACTAAACAAATTTTTTCAAATACATTTTTAAACTTAAAACCATCAATTTTAGCAAATCACTCAATATTATCTTCATAGGTTATTGTACCTGCAGACTCTTTATTATGTAAAACACATACACTTGCTTATGGTATGACAACAACGTATTTTGTTGGCATAAATAGCAGATTGCCCGAACAATAGGTTTGCGTTGCAAGAGACAGGCCATTAGAGGGTGTGTCGTTATTGTATGGTTGACAAATTAATTTATGGCATGAAACCAGCCGTAATCAATGACATTGGCTTTGTACTGTAAATTTAGATTTTAGTATATCGAGTTCAATTATTGTATGCTTAAAAACGCAAGATTTATTAAACTAACACTAATCGGCCACAAATATATCGTCCTTAACACTCAAACTCAATATCACATAGTGACCAGAGTCGTATTATGATATAAGTCTGAAAACCGTTTTATTTTACTCTTCAAGGAATTTATATAATAACAAGAATGTGTACCTGTACAGTGTATTAGTAATAGAAAAAAAACATGATTAAAATAATACATTCACCCCATAGTTTCTTCATAGTTTTACCAAACGGCTGTTTCATAGAAAAAAATAATAAGATATTAACATACTTTTTAACACACAAAGTTCGATATTTTTGGTTGAAAATCTTTGTTTTGTTTTTGTTTCTAAGAAGGCTTAGTTAAGCAAAAATATATTGAACTTTTTATGTTAAAAAGTATGTTAATAGTTTATTATTTTCTATAATCATATACCCCATATTTAGTGGATGGAACATTTCAATTTCTATTCATGAATAGCTTGATAAATAAAGCTTTTTTGCACAACAATTATCGGTGTCATTAGACCTTTAAAGTAAGTGATGTATTACACAACCCATGTTTACATATTTGAAAACTTCTCAAAAACCACCGCTACCACCAAATTGGGCCCTTTTTGGGAATTTTTCTAAATTGAAAATAACTTTATTGGATTCGGCAAGGCCAAATTAGGAGGAAATGAGAACGAACAACTGTTAAACGCCTTACCTTTGTACCCAACAAAAATGTTAAATTTCCAAAATGAACATCCTGTGTATAAATATAAAGCTAGTTAAAGGTAAAAAGGTATATTACTATTTAGATTATTAAATAACTATACAATTACCATATTGCTTAAAGTAAAACATAATAATTGATGATGTCAGAACATGAATATTTAACGAAATAAATGAATCCGTAATACAACGCCACATTAACATTTTGGTATGGAATGGAATAATATTTAATTTTAGAAGTATCTCTCTGAAGCCCAAACACACAGTAAAGTCTTTACCATAATAAAAACAATGAATACTATAGCTTTAGGGCAGCTTTGACTAGTTAGCATGTTAAGCTAACTATATGGAATAGTTTCATCCAACAAACAACCGAATTAACCAACTTTGTTATGTAAAATATGCACAAGTTAATTTCATCTAAAGAGAGGTAATAATTTAGTATTTCGGGATATCAGCACAGTTTCATATATTCACCTAGTTTAATAGTATTTATTTTAGTTTGCAATATTTTGGAGAAATAGATTGTGTTACGATTACTTACTTCATAATAGAAAAACATGTGTCTGGATTTAAAGAAAATTTTTGTAATTAACTTTTTGTTATGATTTTATACTGCTTATAAAATGGTACTATAAAAATGAATAAAACATAACGAATGAAATGTTTTGCCTCAAACCTAGAATGAGGCAAGTGACTGTCAATAAGTTAACAGGGAAGCTAAACTATTAAAAATATGTATTCTACTAACCTACCGTATCTAGCTTACTATATAAAGCTATCTGGATTCATATTTTGTATTCTTTACAAAAGAATAACGCATAAATAGGGTTATATAACCTTCTTGAATAGATTATCAGGAGAGACTGGGATACATTGCAGCGCCACCACCGTTATGAAACTAACACGGCTGTAATTTTTAGTTAATCGCCCCAAATTATGGCTAAGCTCTTTAATCTGTAAAAATGTATCCATAATCTTTTCACCGCATTTAATTCTATATTTTGTAAGTATAATTTGCATGCACAGTCAAATTATTCTCAGTCTTAGACAATCTTCTTGTATTTTGCCACAAATAGAGTATGGCCTAAACCAACAATTTTGTCATTCATTTGAATATATTATGAAATTTTATATGTTACAGTCATTTGGTTTACTTACGTAACCATTTCAATAATTATAAGGTGTGCTACTTTTTATTGCGATTTTTTTATACACCATTAATTTATTATATAAAATATTAAATAACATGATATTTTTAAGAAGTTGAAAACTAAACTTCCACTCCTAGCGTAAAATATGGTTTTGTATTTAACATCATGCGGGTGTAAGTTTTCTTTGAATACAAAATGTAAGTCACCTGATATTCTCCTGTATATCCTGTGTCGCTGACGCTACTACAACAGGTAGTCTGTCACTCGCGGTACCACGGACGACTGGCGACTGACGCTGCGCTCCTCTATCTCACGCTTCTCTACCAGGCGGCGCGGCGGCGGCGACGCTCCCCCCACCCCTGCACCACCCTACGTCACCACTCCTCAGTCGTTTGTTTACACCTAGCTTCATAACTGTCGGAATTATTCACCTCCGTAATCAGACGGAGAACAATGTTTCTAGCGACAATGGATAACTCTTGCGGAATATTCGTCTTTGTTTTCGCCTGCTCCATTTTTAGAGATGCTGTATTTTATGGCTTTGTTGTCGGGACGAAGCTATTTAATGTTACAAGGGTATTCTATTTGACGCAGTGGATGAATAATTTAGGAGACCACGGGCACATGTTGTTGTAATAATACATTTATGTTTCTTGTTTTGTGTGGCACGTTGGAGAGTATTGGATGTCTGCGAAAGAAAAGAGGAACACGCTTACGTCAATAAGCAAAAGGTGTCTTGTTTCGTGGGGTGAATACAAATTATTTATATTTTAAACGCAAGATTGGTTGGATGATAGTTTTTAGTACTTTGCAAACAACTAGTTTTTTTAAAATTTTTATATAAATTTTTATAAGTAAGTGTATTAATAATATTAAAGTGTATATGATCATATGAGATATATATGGTCATAATTTCGTTTATTAGATTTCTGTTGTAATAAAAATTGCATGCCTATGAGTCATTACAGTAACACGAATAAAATGTTCCTCTTCAACACATGATCCACGTCATTTACAACGTTCACGTCAAAGAAAACATTGCCCCTGATAAGGAAGTGCATTCCAAAATCATCTTATTTAATTTTACACGTGAGTCATTGTATTCAGATTGTTTAGTTATAAAGTGTACCAGACATGAGCGGTGGCGGTGACAGCGTGCATGTTACTCACAACCGCCAATTGCCCGTTTCGTCAGTTAGTGGCTCAGCTACATGTAGTGTGTTTAGTTATAAAGTGTACCAGACATGAGCGGTGGCGGTGACAGCGTGCATGTTACTCACAATCGCCAATTGCCCGTTTCGTCAGTTAGTGGCTCAGCTACATGTAGTGTGTTTAGTTATAAAGTGTACCAGACATGAGCGGTGGCGGTGACATCGTGCATGTTACTCACAACCGCCAATTGCCCGTTTCGTCAGTTAGTGGCTCAGCTACATGTAGTGTGTTTAGTTATAAAGTGTACCAGACATGAGCGGTGGCGGTGACAGCGTGCATGTTACTCACAATCGCCAATTGCCCGTTTCGTCAGTTGGTGGCTCAGCTACATGTAGTGTGTTTAGTTATAAAGTGTACCAGACATGAGCGGTGGCGGTGACAGCGTGCATGTTACTCACAATCGCCAATTGCCCGTTTCGTCAGTTAGTGGCTCAGCTACATGTAGTGTGTTTAGTTATAAAGTGTACCAGACATGAGCGGTGGCGGTGACATTGTGCATGTTACTCACAACCGCCAATTGCCCGTTTCGTCAGTTAGTGGCTCAGCTACATGTAGTGTGTTTAGTTTTAAAGTGTACCAGACATGAGCGGTGGCGGTGACAGCGTGCATGTTACTCACAATCGCCAATTGCCCGTTTCGTCAGTTAGTGGCTCAGCTACATGTAGTGTGTTTAGTTATAAAGTGTACCAGACATGAGCGGTGGCGGTGACATCGTGCATGTTACTCACAACCGCCAATTGCCCGTTTCGTCAGTTAGTGGCTCAGCTACATGTAGTGTGTTTAGTTATAAAGTGTACCAGACATGAGCGGTGGCGGTGACAGCGTGCATGTTACTCACAATCGCCAATTGCCCGTTTCGTCAGTTGGTGGCTCAGCTACATGTAGTGTGTTTAGTTATAAAGTGTACCAGACATGAGCGGTGGCGGTGACAGCGTGCATGTTACTCACAATCGCCAATTGCCCGTTTCGTCAGTTAGTGGCTCAGCTACATGTAGTGTGTTTAGTTATAAAGTGTACCAGACATGAGCGGTGGCGGTGACATTGTGCATGTTACTCACAACCGCCAATTGCCCGTTTCGTCAGTTAGTGGCTCAGCTACATGTAGTGTGTTTAGTTTTAAAGTGTACCAGACATGAGCGGTGGCGGTGACAGCGTGCATGTTACTCACAATCGCCAATTGCCCGTTTCGTCAGTTGGTGGCTCAGCTACATGTAGTGTGTTTAGTTATAAAGTGTACCAGACATGAGCGGTGGCGGTGACAGCGTGCATGTTACTCACAATCGCCAATTGCCCGTTTCGTCAGTTAGTGGCTCAGCTACATGTAGTGTGTTTAGTTATAAAGTGTACCAGACATGAGCGGTGGCGGTGACAGCGTGCATGTTACTCACAATCGCCATTTGCCCGTTTCGTCAGTTAGTGGCTCAGCTACATTTAGTGTGTTTAGTTATAAAGTGTACCAGACATGAGCGGTGGCGGTGACAGCGTGCATGTTACTCACAATCGCCAATTGCGCGTTTCGTCAGTTAGTGGCTCAGCTACATGTAGTGTGTAATTGGTACTTGTTGTGGTACGCGACCACATCCCCAGTTACTGGTAATTTCATGTTCCAATTAAAATGCTGTGGCATGGAAAAGTAAGTTGAATTTCATCCTGTCATAGGAATTAACCAAAATAACAGCTTGGATGTACAAAGTATTTTTCTCAGAGAGCTTGATTTATTTACTAATACATCTATCAATACTGATATATACATGATATGTAACTAGGTGCCCAATTTTGTTAATGTTTACAATAAACAATGAAACCACTCGTTAATGTGTATAACAATCAACCTATAATCTTAATCTCAATTAAAATAAGACTGGATATTAATATACTGTAATATGCGTTTCAGGGGCTTGCTATTATTACAATGGAAAAAGTAATAACTAGCTGGATTACTTTAGGACCAAGTAATTAATCAATTCATGTTTTATTAGTTCAAGTGCAAATTTATTTATTTATTAAGGAAATAAACTAACAACAAATCTCTCCGACCTATAAGCCAATTAGTTATACTATTAATGAGATGTTTTTACAGTATTAGTCAAAGTGCACTTGAGCCCATGCAACATTCACAATTGAGGGATAGATAGTGTTCATTGCTCTAGCGGATCCCGCCTAATTAACACATTGCAGGTAATCCTATATAATAAGCTTGATTACACGCTAAATCCGTTTCCTAATTATCCTGCTCAGTAAGTGGACTAAGTGATCGCTCTATGATCACTAACACTAGATACAGTCGTGTCAAACAATTAAGCATGGTAAGTGATATAAGATCACAATCATTGCTGGATATAGGTTTGATGTAACATTGGAAAAGATCCTAATTTCTACGTTCAACACACACGTTTGGCAAAGCTGTTTATAGCTGTTAATCATTTGAGTTTTTCTATAACCAAACAAATTAATTTAGGATTCAGGAAAACGAGAAGGTAAGACTAGAGTTTTCAAATTATTTCAAATATAATTGTTATTAGTTTGTTCGTTTAACCGTCAGTCAGTTCGCAGATGGTTAATTGTGTGTTTGTTTGTTCCGGTTTGGCTAAATAAGAAGGTACAATCAAGAAATACTTATACTTTATACTTTCCAATGAAATGGCGACCATACAAAGTAGGTATTTTAAGCCAAGTATAAATGGAGATGAGTGTAGGATGAGTAGCGCGATCTTGTAGTCTTGTTAGTGACTAAGCCCATACAGCTAATGACAACTGAGGGACCTACAGTTTATAGTGGAATCCAAACCACATTTTTGCTTGGTCTAATTTTCAGGATAGTACCATAGATTAAACATACTTCTAAGGGAGTATGTTTAATCTATGATAGTACTCTGGATAGTGGTAGTACTCGTGCGGACTTTAATCCACACCAGGAAGTATCGCATCCACAGTGCATGCCTATAAATATCCACAATTCTTAGCTTTCTTAACTTAATTTCTTATTTCTTATTCTTATCTCTTAACTTAATTTTTATTTTAATAAAAATCCAATCAGACAGTTTAAAATCTACTATTGGTCTAACGATTTTCTGCTGCGAGGTTACTGCAGTGAATAACAGCAAAAATCTCTAAACATATACATATTTCCTTTGTAGTACGTATATACTTATTATGCCATAATATTTTTCAGATTTTGTATTTTTTATTTTAAATTACATTGCTATCTGACATAGCTAACCAAGATCATAAATAATCTATTCTTTGTTGCAGATGACTTGTTACAATGACTATAAAGCATTACACTTGCATTGTTAGTAGATGTAAACGTTGAAGGGTGGATGACGTAACATTCTGAATAGATAGGCCTACACCTCCATAAATGTAGCTGTCTCGTAGGCTGGCACAATACATCATCATGTTATTTATGGTTGCAGAAATCATGGCGTGTATTCACCCTGTTAGTTCTAATGTAGAAAGCAAAACATACAACAGAAGTTAATTCTTGAATGGATTAAAAATAGGCCACGTAAAAAATTACAAGTTTTATTTAGTTAATATTATTTACTCATTGGCAAAAGCATCAGTTGCAAAGTTAAAATGTAATAGAAATATTTTGAAGTGATGTAATCGAAAATATAACAATATAAATTTGTGTTTGAAGTATAAAATATGTAATTTATTATTATATACAATTGTATAATAATATAATATTTAATTTTATGTTACATTTAATGTAAGTTTCTTATAATTAACAAGCTGTAATAGTCTCATCGTTACTCTGACGATGAAACGGTATCAATGATTCTTTTTATCATGTTCGGAGCTTAACTAAACCAATCAAAACTTTGTTAATCGAATTAGGAAAAGTTCGGACTGTCTAGATTCCGCTTTAAAAATACTCTTTAATACAAGGGGATTTCAAAGCATAAATAACAATACATTCTGTTTTAACAACACCACGTAATTGAATGTACAAGAGCATTTGACTGCCAACAATTCATTTTGCAGTTATTGAATTTCTACTAACAATATTTGTTTTAATATATATCACAAATAAAATCATATTAAACTGTTGAAATTGTATTG